TATGAGTGCTTTTTGGCATGTACCAATTTATGCCAGAAGAGGGCATCAGATCCCACTATAGATGGTTGTGTGAGCTACCATGTGGTTGCTGGGAATTGAACTCAGAGCCTCTGGCAGAGTAGCCAGTACTCTTAACTGATGAGCCATCTCTCTAGCCTGGACAGCAACTCTTTATAAAGGAAAACATCGAGTTGGGGCTGGCTTACAGCTCAGAGGTTTACTCCATTATTGTCATGGCCGGAAGCATGGCAGCATGCAGGCAGACATGGTGCTGGAGAAGGAGCTCAGAGTTCTACATCTGGATCGGCTGGCATAAGAGTGAGCTACTGGGCCTAGCTGAGCTTCTGAAACCTCAGAGCCCACGTCCAGTGACACACTTCCTCCAACAGGGCCACACCTCCCAATAGTGCCACTCTCTAGTGATCAAACATTTGAATCTATAAGTCTATGGGAGCCGTTGCTAATCAAACCACCATACATAATATGATGTTATTCCTTTTTCGTTTTGTTTTGTTTTTCAAGACAGGGTTTTTCGGTGTAAGAACTCTAGCTATCCTGGAACTTGCTTTGTCGACCAGGCTAACCTTGAACTCACAGAGGATCTGCCTGCCTCTGCCTCCCTCCCAAGTTCTGGTATTAAAGGCGGGTGCCACCACTGCCTGGCTCTTTAACAAGTTTCTTTGTTTCTTTGTTTTTAATAAGCAAAAAATGGTGACCAGAAACTCCTTAACCCCATTGTATTCTTTAGATGCTTATATGGAATGGCTTTAGTGTTAACTAATTTTACAGCTATCCTCCATTTTAAACATACAACATGTAACCCCTCAGATACACAGTGGCATATCCTTCGTAATGACTTCAGTCCCCTCATCCACATTCTCTCTGGTTAAAAGAGCTATTTAGGTGCATTATTTATCTCTGACCTCAGAATAAGGCACTGCAGTTACATAGGTCCCATCTCAAAATGGGATGATGGCATGTCTCTGTTTTGATAATTTGTGGAAGAACCATCTTCCAAACTTAAAGGTGTATTCTGAGCTGGACATGGTGTCTCATACCTGTCATCTGTACTTTCAGGAGGCAGAGGCAGGGGAATTGCTGTGAATTCTAGGTCTCAAAGGCTAGCCAAACAAAAATTGCTCTTCTGAGTTGAGGTGAGCACATTGTTATATCTTATAATGGTTCAATTATCTTTCACCCCAACAATTATAATCATAAAATCTTAGAGCTAAAATGCTTTAGATATAATCTCATTTTAGCCTATTACCAGGTATGACATCGTCAGTACAATATACTGTATCATGGTTAAACTTCATCCAAAGTGGCCCAGCTCACCTAGAACCCAAATCCTTGTATTTGATTTAGAACTCTTAGCTGTTGAGTTAGCAAAATCCTCGTTTATTGATAATATATGAACTGCTTAAATTCAAGTAAGCGCTCTCTAGAGGGCAGGATGGACCCTGTTGAGTTTGCATTTTCTAATAGGAGAGTTAGTGAAAGCCTGTACTCTAGTTTAGATAGATGTCCCCAGGCTCATCTGTTGAAAGTTTGGTTGTGGTGTTTTGGGGAGGCAGTGAGATCTTCAGGAGTAGGCTTAGCAGAAAAATGTTAGGGTCCTAGGGTGGATCCTTGAGAGGGGTATGGGGGCCCTAGCCCTTCCTTTTGCTTCTCAGCCACTGCGAGGTAGACAGCATTGCTCCACCTCGTGTTCCCAGCATTAGACACTGTTGTGACAGACCTCAAAGCAGTGGCTACCCAATCACGGCCTCTGAAGCCATGAGCTACAGCAAAGTTTTCTCTTGGTTATCTCAAGAATTTACTGTAGAATAGACAGCTTAGGATATTAGTCCCCTACAGTGGAATCTGTTGTGTGACCTTTCCTGGGAAGTCTATTTCTAATCACCTGGGACTAGAACAAAGAAACAATTCTACCTGAATCCAGCTTGGAGAGCCAATGAATTTACTGTTTTCTACTTATAGGAACATGGGGATAGGCTTCTTACAGGGCCATAGATGGCTTGGGAAGCTGCATCATGGGAAGCCCACCCTAGCCTGGGTAACAGCTAATAAAAGCTGCATCACTGGGGTTCCCTGTACAGCTTGCAGGTAACAACAGTGGGAAGTTTCCTCTTCCCAGGCAATTGTTTGCTGTTTTTATAAACTTGGGAATGAACCTTGGAGTATGCTAAGTCTTTTGTGAGTTTCATAAATCTGGTGAGCATCCATCTCCCCTCGGAGGGAATGTTTCAATTTGATCGAGAAAGCCACTCAACAGGGTAGTTACTGTGACAACTGATGGTGTAGCTCTGAAGTCTTTGAAATTGATTTGGAGAAGGATTCTGGAAAAGTCTGAAGAAACAGGTTAGAGAAAACTTAGGATGTGTAAATATGGATTAACAGGTGCTTCTGTGAGGACTCAAGGCCAGACATCCCAGGCTATTACCAGTGCTCTGGGTACCCTCTAGAACTTGAGGGCAAGACCCCATTTCTGAAGTACCCATACTTGAGTCATAGATCATGCAAAAATCAGGCTGGTGCCCACTTGGGAGTGTCATCCCTACTGTCTAGATTCCATAGTGCTGGAAAGTGCTAGGCAGGCCACCAGGGGAGAAAAGAAGTTGTTGGTCTTAGCTGGCTGTGAGCCTAATGAGCTACAATAATGAGTGCAAGACACATCCTGTGGCCCAATTGTATGCAAACATCATGGCAGTATCCAACCCCTTTTGATTGAATTTAAATCCTGCTCCGCAAGATAAAACCCATACCTGCCATTACCGGCAGACCAAGACTATGGTAGACAGGTCATAGGCAGGTCATTGGCTCTAGCAGAGAACCTATTACTATTACTCTGCTAAATGGACATAATAGTAAACTGACACCTAACAACTCATCATTACACCCATAGATTAATGTGTCTCTTAGCTCTCATTAGGGAAGCTTCTATGTGCAGTAGGTGTTGATTAACATTTGACCATGGTATAGAGAATGAGAGACTGTAGACTGCCCAGGCCTAAGTGGGCCCAAGGCTTGGTGATCACTTCAGAAGAGGGGTGGAAAAAGCGAAAGATCCAGAGAACGACAACAAGGAAAGTTTCTCCTGAAGGCAGTAGGCAGCTGCATGCATGAGCTCACAGCATTTGTGCAGCATGCACAAGACCTGTGCAAGCCCAAGCAGATCAAATCTCATCATGAAATGAAATGATGGGCATGAAGTCCCTCCACTCGTAGCTGAGTGCTGTTGACAGCTGTTGGCTGCTGGGAGGAGAGTCGTATTTCTCTGAGTGTCGCCCCTGTTGAGCTGACCACACTCCAGTGGGAGGCCACATCTCCCAAGAAAGTTTGGGCAACAAAAATTGGTCATGATATATGTATTTATTATTTTTTTAAAAGGACACAAAGTTGAGTGAGTCAGGAAGGGAGTTAGAAGAGGGGTGAATATTATCAGAGTGTGTATGAAATTCTCAAAGAATGAATAAAAATATATTTAGAAAGCAAAGCCAAGTACTTGGCATCAGGATAATAGAACTCCTTGAAGACACTTCAAGAATCGTTCAGACTACCACCGCAGAGGACTCAGACATTTTCCCTGAGGAGACCCAGGGCAGCCTCCTTCCATAGGGCCATCTGGAGAATGTCCTGAAACTCCTTCCTCATGTTCAGACACAAGATGAATACAGCCGCAGTTCAGCTTGTGCTGGTGGCAGGCCTTGGCATCATCTACATCATGCTGGTTTTACAGACATTCAAAGTGCAAGAGTTGTGGAGTCATGGAGAGTTCCACAAAGGTATCAGAGGTCAGCTTGGGATGCTAAGCACTGTGTGGTGGAGTTAGAGTCTCCATCAGCAGCTCTCAAGCTGGCAATGTGTTGGGAACGTGAGAGAGAAGCAGAACCCAATGGAGATACCAGCGAGAGGTGACGGAGCTGCCAAGGGACACTTCGTGAGGTGCATGCAGCCAGCCCCGAGTGTGGGGCACACGGGCTGCAGTCAGCGAGTCTGGAGGAGCAGGGCTGCCTGAGCCCTGGGATTTCACACTCCGCCACTGTGTGTGCCAGATGTCCGGATGTAGGGTCTAATGTTTGCCCTGCTTCCTTTTAGTCTGTCTTTGATCTGATCCTTTCTACACATCTATTCCTCCTCTGTGGAACAGGAGTGTTTGCCTTGTGTCATTGTTCCCTGAACGTAAGTAATCTTTTTACTTTTTACAGCTTCTCAGCTGGGTTTCCCGTGGGTCTCAAAGAACACGCTTGACACGGACTAGTGAATGACTCTGAAGCAGTTAAGACCTTGGGAACTCTTGCAGAAACAAATAATGAAACGGACATAAGCCTTTGGGTGCAGGGACAGAATGTTACAGTCTGAATAAGTGCCAAAGGCCAGTGTACTAAAGGCTCGGTCACCAGCCTGTCGTGCCTGTCCTCGCGCTACTTGGAGGAGAGAACAGTTGCAAGGGGAGGAGTCTGGTCTTTGGGGTTTGTCTGTCACAGAGAGCAGGGAGCCAGCTTCTCCCCCATCCTCTTTATTTCCAGGCTGCTTTTAGGTGAATGATGAGCCGTATGCTTCTCACCATGCTGTGTTGTCTCTTCACAAAGCCCCAAAGCAACGGCCAAGAGAGTGTCTGTGCACTGAAACCCCAAATAAATGGTTCCTCTTCATCCCCCGCAAGACAGGAGTTCTCTGTGTTGCTTTGGAGCCTGCCCTGGAACTCGCTTTGTAGACCAGGTTGGACTCGAACTCACAGAGATCCACCTGCTCTGCCTCCTGAGTGCTGGGATCAAAGGTGTGCACCACCACCCAGCTATGTTTCCTCTTTTAAAGTTGATTATCTCAGGCATTTTGTTATAGGGAGGGAACAGTAATAAAATCTGGTTTGGTGTAAATTGCTTGTTAGCTTTTTTTTTTTGTATTATATCTCCATTACTGTTAAGATATTTTTAGGCCAACAAATTTCACAGAACTCTTCCTTTCGACCTACTGAATGAAATATGAGCCACAAAGAATTGCAATTGTCAGGTTTTATTTTGCATAGAGAAAACACAACTAGTGAGAATACTCAAATGGTCCCTGTGAATTATCTCTAACGGTTGTGGTACAGGTTCAGAAATGTAATACAGGAAATTCAGTTTGTTCAGATCAGCTCCTTAAGCATAACCAGTTCCAATGACGTCCTTCTCCATTCGGGGTGTCGTCCCCACTGCTGTGGTGGGAGGCTTGCTATTGGCATCCACAGGGTTGCTGAGGTTCCCCGTGTCTCACATGCCTAGCAGCATTCTGGAGCCCAAAGCCTTGTGCTAAGATGGCGAAGCCCTGCTCTGACAGCTCCTCCTGTGGTCTGGGGTGACTCCCTACAGCTCACATGTGAGCCTCTTGTGCAACGCTGCTCAGGAGGTTATTAGGTCCTGGGTCATGCCCCCCTGAATGGAATTAGTGCTCTTGTCAAAGACTCTGAGAAGACCAGCCCTTCCAGAAACTTGAAGATAAACTGGAAGGTATGTTTTCTGATGAAGACTTCTCCCAGACAGCCTTATGGCACCTTGACCTTAGACTTCTCAGGCCCCTAGACTGTAAGAAGTAAGCTGTCCTGTTTTGGGGACTTTTGTTGTTTTGAGATAGTGTGTCACTATGCAGCCCTGACTGGTCAGGAACTCACTATCTAGACCAGACTGGCCTCAGATTCATAGAGATCCCACCTGCCTCTGTCTCTGCTTCCTGAGTGCTGGGGTTAAAGCCATGCAGGGCTGTACAGGATGTTTTCCTAAATTAGCAATGTGAACAGACGAGAGTAGTTTATTAACAGTGAGGATGAGAGCAGGTGTAATTTCTCCAAGTATGATAATATGTGATTTAACAGCAACACAAATACTGAAGCAGAAGACTGGCCCTTGGGCTTTGGAAAGGCAGTAAGAAGTAAGAATTGCTGGGACACTGCTGAAATAGTCTACAATTTCAGGGAGATTGTGGGATAAACAAATGAGGAAATCTATAGAGACACCGAGCTAAGGGGTTTAGTATTTGCGAATGGGAAGTTTTTCTATCTAGTTAATTTTCAACCACAAGAAAAGGAGCCTCTTGACATGCTCTATCTGCAAGGCTAGCTAAATGTTCATTATTCCATAATAAATAACTAGACATTTTTCTTCTACATTTGTTTTTGCCAAAAATCAAGATGATTTGAAAATGACTAACCCTGAAATAGCAAACTCAAAGCTGGGTAAGGTGTGGTGCTACGGAGAAGGCCCCGCGTCAGCACAGGCCAGCAAGCCTCCATGAACTCAGTTCACAATTTACGTGTCATCTCTGGCCATCAAGGGCTGTAGAAATAACCCCGCCGTCCCTAAAATGCACACCAGGATGAAAACCCAGAGGAAGATTCGGTCGATCACCATGGCAACATACTTCCAATCATCTTGAATCTGAAAAACAGGATGAAACAGCATGAAGGAGAGGTGGGTTTTCAGTATTTTCAGCCATTTTGTTTCATATACAGGGAATCTTATTGATGCAAGTTGAGGAAATCTATGGTGATGACTGATAATGATTGTCAACTTGACAGGATCTAGAACCCCCTAGGAGACAAACCACTGGGCATGCTCATGAAGGATGACCTAAATTATGTCAGCCCCTGATGGTGACTGTGAGGGGCTGTCTGGATCAAATGGATTGAGGTGGAAAGGCCCACCTCAACTGCGGGGGCAACCACGCCATGTGCTAGGGTAGGGTCCTAGGCGGAATAAAAATGAGAGTAGACTGAACTGTGCTGTTCATCTCTCTGCTTCCTGACTGTGGGTGCGGTGTGACAGCCGCCTCATGCTCCTGCCGCCTTCTCCACGTGAGGGACCGTTTTCCCTGGAGCGGTAAGCCTGGATAGACACCCTCAAGTTGCTTCTTCTCAGGCACACGGTCACAGCAGCAAAAGAAGTTCAGGCACAGCAGGCCACCTCTAATGTCATGTATGAGAAAACGGGTTAAAACATGGGCATGATGGCTCTGTTTCAAATAAGATTTTTTTTTTTTTTTGGTTTTACGAGACAGGGTTTCTCTGTATTGTTTTGGAGGCTGTCCTGGAACTAGCTCTGTAGACCAGGCTGGCCTCGAACTCACAGAGATTCGCCTGCCTCTGCCTCCCGAGTATTGGGATTAAAGGCGTGCGCCACCACCGCCCAGCATTTTCTTTTGAGGCAAGGGCTGGTCTTCATGTCTAAGCAGTTTAGGTTGGCCTCAAATTATTGATCATCCTGTTATAGCCTCCCAAGGGCTGTGATTACAGGTATGTACCACCACTCACTCAGAAGTGTGTGTGTGTGTGTGTGTGTGTGTGCATGCATACATGTGTATACAGAACTATAGAATATATACACACATGTGTATGTATATATCCTATTTTTTCTAAATTGAATTCCAGTATTGAAGCGTACATGCCGCTTCGGGAGGATCCAGAGTCTTTGTTAGAATAGAGACTACAATCCAATATCATTTGACATTGCTTCAAAGCACTTGCTCATTTCTAATTTTAGATACTAATTTCTGTTTAACATCTATTCCAAGGTGAAACAAGCATGTTGGGTGAGCTTGACATTTTTTCTTTCTCACCACTCCCCTTCAAAATGCCCACCTGACCAAATGCCATCTTCATCTGCAAGGCCAAACAGGCTAAACAGCAGACATAGTGGCTGACAATAGAGTAAAAGACAGGAGAAAGAGCAAGGATAATTATATAGAATGAGCTTCAATTTAGGCTTGAAACAGGAAGGAGAATCTATGGTAATTACACTCCCAGACAGTTCAGAATGCAAAGAAACCACAACTGAGTTGAGAGAGAGCCCATGAGTCAGTTGATCTTGAAGCAATAATCACATAATGAAGAAGCAGCGTGTAATTTTATAATTCAATTAAACACATGAAATGGGGCTGGGAGATGTGGTTTTTATTTCCCCATTATGAGCTTGAGTAAATGTGTCCTTTTAGTGATACCATGAAAGTCACAGTCATGGTAAAGTTAGAATCATAATGCCCGGTTTGACATGTTTCTTGTCTGTAAGCACTTCAAGCTCACAGCCTGAGACTTACCCACCCCTCTATGGGACACACAGCATCACTCCCAAGGCTCTTCGAGGCAGCGGGTAGAAAACAGGTGGAGACAAACTTTGGTTGTAATCTAGCTCCTTTCTAGGTATAAGAATCTGAGTAAGGGGATGGAGAGCTGGCTCAGCAGTTAAGAGGATTCCGGGTTCAATTCCCAGGATCCACATGGCAGCTCACAACTGTCTATGACTACAGTTCCAGGGGATCTGACACCCTCACACAGATATACATGCAGGCAAAACACCGTTGTACATAAAATGAATAAAAAATAAAAACAAAGAGTCTGACTAAATTTCATTGCCCTCATTCTCAATATCCTCATCTGAAAAATGGGAATAAAGGTAGTGCAATCTCAGGGGTTGCTTCTGTAGACTCCTTAATGAATGACACTTTTAATATTAGTGCTGACTTAAGAAGTGGCCCTTATCCCTATATAAATCTGAGACTGGATATGATGACAATTTAGGCCTGGAATCCCACTTCTGGGTGAGCTGAGGCAGTACAATTGTGAGTTCAAGACCAACCTGGACTACAAGGGAGGTAACTAACATATCCAAGGACTTCTAACTGGCCTGAACATAAGCTGCTGATTTGAGTCTAATTTCTTCTTGAAAAAAATAATTTCTCATATCTGAGAATAATAAATTAAAAAAATTTCAAATTATTTTTCTTTCTTTCTGTGTGTGTGTGTGTGTGTGTGTGTGTGTGTGTGTGTGTGTGTGTGTTATGTGAGGAGACCAAAGGAGGGTGTTGGATTCCCTGGAGTTAGAGTTATGGGCATTGTGAGGCATTTGATATGGGTGCTAGGAACCAAGTTTGTATCCTTCCCAAGGGCAACAAGTGCTCTTAACGGTTAGGCCATCTCTTGAGCCCCTAAGAGTCTAGTTTCCTAACCTCTGTCCTATGCATCCCTGCACAAGGAAGCCATAATACAAGCCATATATTTACCTCTTTGGCTACATTCTGGGCTTTCATATTTTCAGCAATATACTTCACGCTTTGGATGGCTTCCTTGATTTCTGGTGACAGAGCAGAGAGGGACAACACAGCATCGACAGACTCAGAACTTGAGCTTCTCGTGAGATTAGCACTGAAATTTGAGATTTTTACCCTCCGGTGCTGGCAGTAGCTGCATGTCCCATCTTGGCACGGATAGCCTTCCTTGCAACTTTTAGAGTCTGCACGGTTGAAGCAGTTCAGATTTGAGAGCTCAGCACTGTAGAAGGTCCTTGGCTTCTGAGCTTCTCCCTCGCTGCTGGTTGGTCTAGTCATGAACATGACCCTGGGGAGCAGGTTCAGGAATATAGCCTTGACCCAAGTGGGCATGGTGTGTGTGGTCGGGGTTCTGTAGTGCACGTTGAGCACGAAGACTGTGATAACGATGGACAAGGTGACGAAAATCATGGTGAAGAGGAGGTACTCCCCGATCAGGGGGATGACCAGCGAGGTGGAAGGGATGGTCTCGGTGATCACTAGGAGAAAGACGGTCAGGGAGAGGAGCACAGAGATGCAGAGGGTCACCTTCTCGCCACAGTCAGAGGGCAGGTAGAAGACGAGCACTGTGAGGAAGGAGATAAGCAGGCAGGGGATGATGAGGTTGATGGTGTAAAACAGGGGCAGGCGGCGGATGTACAGCGAGTATGTGACGTCTTGGTAGATCTCCTCACAGCAGTTGTACTTGATCTCGTGTTTGTAGCCTGGGGCTTTGATGATGGCCCACTCGCCACTTTCCCAGTAGTCCTTGAGGTTCATTGAGGAGCCAATGAGGACCAGGTCAATCTTCGCCTTGTCATAGGACCACAAGCCGAACTTCATGGTGCAATTTTGGTAGTCGAATGGGAAGTAGGTCACATCAATTTTGCATGAGCTCTTAAAGATGGCTGGAGGGATCCAAGTCACTTCTCCTGTGTACTTGAGTAGAGCTTTGGTCTTGTCATCAACCTGGAAATCCCCATCAGCGCTGTGAAGACACAGAGGGGCACACGACTTACCAGCACCACTATATGGCCACCAGTCTGGCTTCCCATGTGACCACCAGGACAATAACAAGTGATGATTTGTAAAACAGTGGGATATGAGAGATCAAAGGACCACTGAGCCAACTGCCCCATTTTCCAGTGGAGATATTGAGGCCTAGGCCTCCCCCAGCACATGCTCCGCCACATTAGTTATCCACCCCCCCAACACAATTTGCCATACTTGGAACCCCCACTCCAGCTTCTCCCAGTACATTCTCACCACCTCTGGGACCTCCCCACCACACACACTCTGCCATGCTGGTAATATCACCAGTATAGTCCCCAGTGTACAATTCCCAGGTTGATACTTATAGAGACTCCCAAGAGCCAAAAACGGGCCCCACTGCTGCTCTGAGTTTATGATTTAAGATGAATGTTGTCATCTTGCTTCAGCAGCCTTTGGGGATATTAGCAGGCAGGACCTTGTTAGCGTCCCTTTATTCAGTCTCCACTGGGTGCCTGATACATGCGTGAAACCCACCAGCAAACCTGGAAATGGCTCCACGGATCAGCCACAGGTGCGGATGCTGTGAAACTAACCCTTACAAGGAAGCCCCTCCTCCCCCATCCCAGGTCCCACTTCTACTGCTGCTCCCTTCCTCCAGCTGCTCCCAACACTGTTCTCCATAAAAACCGTGTTTTCTGATTTCATTGAACACGTTCAAATCGAACTCAGCAAGCCAGCCTCTGCACTTGCCTCCCTGTCTGTCTTCACTCACTCCCCATGTTTGCACTCCCTTTTAGTCATGTGCACTCAGCTTCTTTTTGTATAAATAACACAGTTTTCTGAGGTTCATCCTGCAATGTTTATAGACTGAGGTCTTAACAGAAGGACTGATAACACTCAGTTCCCTGTAGTGCTTGCATTCAGCATTCCATCTCTGTGGCTAAGGTCACTGAAAGCAAGGTCACTTGGCTCTCACAGATGTCCCTTACACCAAAGGATTTCTTCCTTTGTAGGTAAGGACATGCTATTGTAGCTCAGGCTAAACTCAAACTCACTATCCTTCTGCCTTAGCCTCCTGAATGCTGGAATTCAATGCCTCCCTCATTGAAGACTCTTGACCTCTGGAGCCAGCCCCCTGGGTCTCTTAGCTTGCAGCAGTGGGAGACATTTGTGGTTTTCATGCCCCTTTTGGTTGCTACGTGAAAATCTGAAAGAGAGTCAAAATTCTAAACACTTAGAGATGACCTTGCATTGCCATTGGAATGCCAGCAGGGCTCTGGTGTAGACCACTCCTCTGTGCTGGTCTCTGTCCTTCCCACCTACTCTGCTTCCGTTGAGCAGAACAGATATTGCACATGACACCTCAATGCCTGAGCCCCTACCCGTGTCTGTTCAGGTGCCTGGCTTGGGTTTCTGCATTCTTCATCCCTGATAACTTCAGAGGAAGGAGGGGTGGGGGACAGAGTTCTATACAACCTCCATGTGGACTCAGAGCCATATGAGAGCTGATCAGAACCTTGAAGACCCTATGGAACCCAGGGGCTCCTGAACAGTGTTACTTGGAGCATCCAAGATCAACAAATGTCAGAGAAGTAAGGGATCTACTTGGCAAACTATGACCACAAACCTGCCTGTGCTAGCTAGTTTTATGTCAGCTTGACATCAGAGAGGAGGGAGCCTCATTGAGAAAATGTCTCTATAAGATCAGGCTATAAGTAAGCCTGTAGAGCGTTTTCTTAATTAGTGACTAATGAGGGAGGGCCCAGCCCGTGGTGGGTGGGGCCACCCCTTGGCTGGTAATCCTGGGTTCTGTATGAAAGTAGACTGAGCAAGCCCTGGGAAGCAAGCCAGGAAGCAGCACTCCTCCATGGCCACTACATCAGTTCCTGCCTCCAGGTTCCTGCCTTGAGCGAGTTCCTGCGCTCCCTGCGTTTGATGAGGAACTGCTACATGGAACCGCGAGTGAAACAGAGCCTGTCCTCCCCAGGTTGCCTTGGTCACGTGTTTCATCACAGCAGCAGTATCCCTAACTAAGACACTGTCCTTCCATGTTCACACCCCTTTCCTTTTCCTGTCTCTGTGTGTTTGTGTTGTGCGTACATGCGTATGTGTACGTGGGCACATGTGTGGGTGTGCCCATGTGTGCAGTGCATGCGGAGGCCCAAAAGCAATGTCAGGAATTATCCTTGATTGTTCTTTCATCCTTATTCACTGAGGCAGGGTCTCTCAATCAAACCCAGAGCTTACCCAGAGTTGCTCAATCAAACCCAGAGTGATGATAAAGTTTATGGTGAGGATGAGGCTGGTGTCCCTGGCCAGCTTGCTCTGGAGAGTCCCTGTCTCCGCCTTCCAAGGTTGTCACACATAGCTTGCATTTACATGGGTTCTGGAAAATCCAAACTCTGATCCTTATGACTGTGTGGCAAGTGCTTTAATCACTGGTCCATCTTCCCAGGGACCATGCCCACACATTTCTCCTGGAACAAAGTCATTGTCGTTTGTTGTCTACTGAGTGGCTGCTTTGGGCTACAAGGGCAGAGTTGAACAGCCATGACACAGACTGCATCAGCTCAAATGTTAAAATATTTTAGTGCTTGTTCTTTCTAGGGAGTCGAGTGCCTGTGCTCTAGCCCTACTGTTTCCTGTTACTGAAGAGAACACTGAAGGTCAAAGAGCAGGGTTCATTTGCTCAATGTCCATGGAACACCTGTGAGCACAGCCTTGGCTACTCAGAACTTCAGTCGCCAAGAGAGGCATCACCAAAACGTGTGTGTACCCAATGGACAAGTACCAGAGAAACGTCAGCCCTGACCCAACTACTCATTCCTGTGGTTTCTGGAGTTCCTGGTCACTTGTCACTGCCATGGAAGCCCCTAGTTGTATCTTTCCATACCAGAAGGCCTGTTTGCTGTGCAGGTTGGGGTCAAAAACATCTCTGTCACCAGCAGTCACAGAACATGAGGGCCCACCCGAAGACCAAAATCTGGCACAGCTTTTGCCACACAGTGCCCTTGTAATTATTTGTTGACCAAATGAATGGCCAAAGATTTAATTGAAAATCTCTACCCATCACACATGGAGGGAGTTGAAGAAATGGGTGGGTGGTGGCAGAGACAAAGGGACAACAGCCGCAAGAGGGGTCTGTGCTGCATTCCTGCCTGACTGTGAGGCGGTTAAAATGAGAGAAGCAGCGTGAGCATAGAGGATCAACAAAGGTCTTTGCACACAAGAGAAGATTGTGGAAATGGGGCAAGGGTAGGAGGGAAATCACAACAGCAGAACCCTGTGTAAGCTAGAAATTCCTTCAGAAAACCAGGGCAGCTCAGACAGCAGAGCAGGCCCACTGCCCACACCTTCAGTGAGGGCCTCAGTGTCCCATGAATGTCAGCGTAAGAGAGCACAGGGCCAGAGCATCAGGAGACCTGCGGGCCACATGCGGTACCTGCTGAATGGAGGTAACCTAGGGAGGAGAAAGTGGGTCCCCGGGCCCTGAGAGTTAGTCCCGGGTCAGAAACAGAAGAAATCGGAGAAAAGGATCATACACAGAAGGGGTGGTGACACACATCCCAGAATCCTGGCACTTGAGACACCAAAGCAGAAGAATCATGAGTTTGAAGCCAGCCTGGGCTACACAGTGAGACCCTTTCTGCAAAAATAACAAAGACCTGATTCAATATTGACTCCTCAGTGAGGTTTCAATTTGCATTTGAGTATTTAGAAATATGGCAGAGGGCTGGTATTGTGGTTCAGCTGGTAGAGGTGCCACCAAATCTGATGGTCAGAGTTCTATCCTCAAACCCCTGAACCTACATGGTGGATTCAGGGAACTGACTCGCAATGGTCTTCTGACCCCCACACATGCGCTCGCCCTCTCCCTCTCCCTCTCCCTCTCTCTTTCCCTCTCCCTCTCTCTCTCTCCCTCTCCCCCCTCTCTCCCCTCTCTCTTTCTCTCTTTTCTTCCTCCTCCCTTCCCTCTCTCCTGCTTTACCTCCCTCCACCCCCACACAAATAAATAAATAAGCATAAAATAATAAAACTTGCCGGCGGTGGTGGCGCACGCCTTTAATCCCAGCACTCAGGAGGCAGAGGCAGGCGGATCTCTGTGAGTTCGAGGCCGGGCTGGACCGATAGCCTCCAAAACAATACAGAGAAATCCTGTCTCGTAAAAACCAAAATAATAATAATAAAACTTTACAGTGAGAATACACAGGGTTACAGAGAAATGAGTCAAGGCTGGCGCAGGTATGTGGGGATCTCAGAACTCACAACACTTCACCCAATCCCCATACCCCAAAACTGTCTTTCAGAACCATCCAGAAAGAGTTGCCCACGCAGGAAATGGGATGGATTGGGACAGGTAAAAACCCGTTGGGTAGCCATGCTAGAGAGCAAGCCACTTACAAAGAAGACAATTATACATACTAACTTTAGAAAGGACATGGGAGAACAGAAAAGAAAACAGCGTAACCGTGGCAGCTGTGTGTTTAATGGAGAGCAGCTAAGAGCAAGCTGCTCTAGCTTGGGAACATGGGATAATCTATGAATCCTGGCCAGCCCTGCTCTTCTCCTCTTAAAGAGGGCGGGACAGCCATCTACTCCCATCCCTGCCACAGAGCTATAACTAGTGCCCATGCAAGGCCCTCCCCTGCCATCCCAGACCCCCACATGCAAGGTTCTCCCTGCCATCCCAGATCCCCCCACCACACACTGGGGCTCCTCCCTGGTCCTCCAGTCTTCTACTCCACAGGGCAGCTAATGAGGTCACTTTGGCTATGCATGACATACTCTCCTGCCTCCCTGCACCCTTTCTGCTGCAGTTCCCCTGTTCCAGATCCCGGGTGACCTTCAAGGCCCACTTCAATGACATTTCCACCCAGCAGCTTTCTCTGGTGGTCTTTCCCCTCCTCCAGCCACACATCGCTCCTTAGGAATCGGTTAACATCCTGCCACTCTGTGGCTCACTGGCAACTGTGGTACCCAATACATAACTGACGCCCAGAGCCTGCAGAGTGAACAAGTAAACAAATCCCTCTCGGAAAGGGTCGCCAGTGAGTGGCTGGAGGACCCAGAGCCCAGACTGCCAGACCAAAGAGTATGGGACAGGCAGCTCCTTACTTGTTATAAAGCACAATGTCTGGTTTCCAGATCTTCTCCGCGGGGACGTGCATGAACTCCACCCCTTGGTAGTCAGAGGGTTTCCACTTCAGCTTGTAGTCGTTCCAGATCTGGTGGAAGAAGGTAGGGAGATTATGTGGTGGTTAGGACCGAGCCCAAGGAATTGTGCTTACTAAGTATGCATTCTACCCAGTGAGCTACATCTCCAGCCCCACATATGTGGTATATATGTGCATATGTGTAGGCACATGTGTGGGGGTGTGCATGCATGTGTGTGTATGAATTTGGAGGTCAGATGTTGATACAGGATATCTTCCTTGATCAGTCATCAAATGATTTACTGAAGCAAGGCTTCTCACTGTACCTGGAGCTCAATGATTCTATTGGCCTAGGGAGCCAGGCTCCTCCTGGGATTCATTCTCCTCTGGCTTTGAACTCACAGAGATCCACATGCCTCAGCCTTCTGAGTGCTGGAATCAAAGATGTGAGCCACCACACCCAGCCTGTCCAATTCTGTAGTAGGCATCTGGAGAGAATTCTCTCTCCAGGCTGTAGCTTGTCTGTCTGTAATGTGAGGTGACCCTGACTGGGGGTCCTCAGGAGTAGCATCCAGTCTGCAGCCGCCTTTGTTTCCCAGCAGCAAATAAAGCGATTGCCACCAGGGGGCAGCAGTACACAGAGCCAGCGCACGTACTTGCTTCAGCCACAGGTTGGTCTCCATGATCTGGTTCACTTCATCCTATAAAGGGAGATTGAAGTTGACAGGTGAATGTCAACAGCGAGGCTGACTCCAGGCAGGCTCCTCGAGAACCCCATGGCCACTTCTTGTGGCTCCTGCACTTACCACCTTCACCAGCTGGGACATGGACACCTCAAACTGGACGATGACTGGATGGGACACGTTGGCCACGGGTCGAATGAACTCGTTGTAATCTTCGAACAGATACTGGAACAGGCGGTGTTCGGCTTCTGAGGCACTGGCCACTGAGGGAGGCATTCCTGTCAGTTCCTGGGGAAATGGTTACTTATCTCTCCCTGCAAGGACATCCTGCCTACGGATTCCCATCTGCCAGGGTACTCGGCAAGGCCAGGCTTCCAGGCTAATAATGCTCCCTTAAGTTACAAGCTGGGAAACTGGGGCTCAGGAAGGACAAGGATTCTACCAGGTCACGCACATTCAGTGGTTTAGAGGCCTGAGTTCTGAAGTTGGGTATGTACGTCTGGGGTATAGCCCAGCAAACCATGTGAAGCTGTGTGAGAGCTTAGGCTGATAGTTTAAACTCTCTGGATCTTGATTTTAGTCTATCTATGTATAGAGTATGCACGAACGCACCTCAAAAATGGGAGTGACGTGCTTCTCTTGGTGGCCTGTGGCAGGCGACCGAGAACGGCTGTCAGCTAGACGGGACTCTTCAGATGTTCACCCTCCTGTCTGTGTTACTGCCATTTTCTGAGCTTTCGCTTTCCCTCTCCCCTACATTTAAGCAAAGACTACCTTGTTTTTTCTTCTTTAAATTTTTTATTGCATTATGGGGGAGGGGTACAGGCCACAGCATGTGCGTGGGGTTCAGAGGGCAGCCTTCAAAACTCAGTTCTCTCCTTCTACCATGAGGGTCCTGGGGACCGACCTCAGGTCAAGAGTGTTAAGATAAAGCAAGAGGGGAACCTTGGTGGATTCCACGGCAGGTGAGGGTGACCGAGGCGGGGGACAATCATGCCAGGTAGACAGAGCTTAGTGAGAAGTTTTATTAGAAAGGGGAGGGGTTGGAAAGAGAAAAGAGGCAGAGACACAGAGACAGAGAGGGCAGAAGAGAAGAGGGAGACAGGAAAGTCCTGTCTGGCCCAGGGGAACAGCAGGAAAGAGAGAAGGGAAGAGAGGGGCCTGGGGAAAGAGCCAGAGTGGGCGGGGGTCTTTCTGTTAAAGGGGTCCTTTGCACCTGCGTGCAGACTACGTGGAACCCTGGGCAGACCAGGGAACTGCCTGCGTGCATTTTGGCAGGTGACAGCGGCCAGCCAGCAAAATGCCTGAATCCTTACACTTAGATTGGGTGGCGAGTATGTTTACCAGTTGAACCAGATACTTCTTTCTTCCCTTCCTTCTTTTTTTTTTTTTTTTTTTTTTTTTTTTGAGACAGGGTTTATCTGTGTAGCTTTGGAGCTTGTCCTGGAACTCTCTGTGTAGACCAGGCTGGCCTCGAACTCACAGAGACCCACCTGCCTCTGCCTCCCAAGTGCTGGGATTAAAGGCGTGCACCACCACTTCCCCTCCTGATACTTTTCTCTTAATAAAACTCTAACCTTTCTTTACATCAGACACCCAACTTTGTTTTCTTTAAAAAAAAAAGATAATAATGAAAGAACTATTAGAGGCTCAAACCTTTATTGTTACTCCAAGGAAGGTACCCCTGATGCCCGGGTGGAAAGATGACTCACCCAGCCCTGGGGCAGGGGTAGGGCCACTCAGGGTCCCCCCCCAAGCCAGAAGACCTGTTTCCCCGTATGTGGGAGACTGCAGCCCCTTCCCCCATCCTCCCACAGTCGGCAAGGGTTTGGCTATGGACGTCTTAGGAGCCAGGTGCCACGGATTCCTGCCAGTGTTGTCTTCACATCCCAACCCCAGTTCCTGGTCTCGATGGCCTCTGGGCATCCTTTTTGTTCACAAGTCCACCCCAGCGAATCGAAACATCTTGGCTCAATCTGTCGGCTGCTTCCTATTTAGAGTACTGGGGTCAGTCGAGGGACAGTCTTTTGGTAGAAACATAACCCAGCTTCTTCAGGCAGTGATTTGGGCGGCCCCTCACAGGAGTGCAGACTGTAGTGATGCAAGCCCCCCTCTCCCTCCACCCGGTGAACTGAAGGCTCTGCATGCCTTCGGGGGACATCGTAGCTGCATTTCTGCCTCATCCACCAGCCATCTCGGGTCTCTGGAAAGGGCTTCCCCCTAACAGGCTCCTCTAGAGCCTCCGCGACGGCCTGGGAGGAGCAATCACGTCGAAGGTATCTAGGCAACTCGGATCATTGTGCAGAGACAGGAGGACCAGGACCAGAGGCTTGGTCCAGCTCCAGCTCCAAACCACTCGGTTCTCCTCCAAGTGGTTTTGGACTAGTCTTTAGCCTTCTTTGGCCACAGGTTTTCCCGCGGTCCACAAAACCAAACGATGAACAGGAGGCAGATACTGGAAGTGGGGCTGCGAGTCCCTGCAGCAGAGCCACGTTTGGGACCTGGACTCAAACCTCTCACTCCTAGGCAGACCCAGAGGGCCCGCTCTGGGCTCGCCATGAGCCTCCGCTAACTGAGAGGCTTGGGAACAAAGGAGTACCCAAGGGGCTCAGCGAGGTAGAGACTGGGATGCGCGTGCATTGTCAGAACCATGGGACCACACTGAGATCCAAGGCGGGTGGGCGCCTAGACTTCTAAGGGGCTGGTGGGCGAAACCGTGTGGAAAGCCGAGGCCAGGGCTGCAGCCTCGCAAGGCGACCCGCCGGCCACCGCCCGCCGCAGCCCGCCTGGGCTCCTGACCCGACCGCTCCCCGCGCGTACCTGGCAGTAGCAGCAGCACCACCCGCAGCAGCAGCACCAGCGGCGACCGGAGTGGCAAGGCGTCCATGTCTGCAGACAGAGCAGGATCCACTCCGATGCTGACCGCCGACGCCCAGCTGTGCGAGCACAAGAACCGCGGGGCTCCTCCCGGCTTGCGCCCCAAATGCACGAACCCCGGGCAGTCAAGCGCTGAGAGCAACCGCGGGGCGGGGAGGCCAAGGCGGGAGCTGCACCCGCTGTGGGAGGGTGGGAGGGGCGTCGGGTCCCTGCCTCGCCCTGAGCAGTCCTGGAGTCTGGAAACCGCTAGGCTAAGGACCAGACGGGAGCAGACACTGTCACCATTGTCACCATGGCAGGAAAAAAGGGCCAAATCTCTGGCTAGGGTTTCCCGGACAGATGGAGCTCCCAGGAGCGCTGGGGGACCACCGCAAGGTCGTGCCAGCTCTAGTGCAACTCAAAAGGAGGCCATGGAAGTTGATACTCTTAAAGTAACTATTTTCAGCATGATACACACACACACACACACACACACACACACACACACACACACACACACACACCCCATCCAGTTGAGGGGGAATAGATGGGTTGGAGTCGGAGTCGAAACAGTATTGGTGATGAGTTTATCATTGGTAGGTGAAGACGTCTGAGAGGTCTTATACTATTTTTTTTTAATTTAGACTATGCTCCTTAATAAAACAGAACAATGCTGGAGGTTACAGCTCAGCGGGAGAGGGCTTGCCCAGCATACCTGAGGCCTAGGTTTTGATCCCCAGAATAGCAAATAAATACTTTCATAAGTAAGGTTGAAACACAGAGAAGAGAGGGGAGGGGTGAGGGAGGCAGGGAGGAAAGGAGAGAGAGAGAGAGAGAGAGAGAGAGAGAGAGAGAGAGAGAGAGAGAGAGAGAGAGAGAGAGAGAGAGAGAATGAATCTGGCTTTCCACTCTGACCCTTGTAGACCCTCCTTTGTCCCACTGCCCCCTGGTAGCCTGGGTATCCCAGGAATAGGCCGTGACAGGGTAGGTGTCCTGGGGTCTCTTGGCCTCTCTGGCCACCCACCGGGGATGGTTTGGCACTTGGAGGCTTCCCTGATGGTTATTAGGGACCGTGTTAGGGTGGAACTCATGGAATTGTACACTGAAAATTAGATGTATAATTTACATATAAAATTATGAATAAGTGTTTATCTTTAAGATTTTTATTTACTGTGCATGTGTGTGCCTGAATGCACATGTGCACGTGTGAGTAAGCCTACACATGGAAGCCAGAGGACACTTTGTGGAGTCAGTTCTCGCCTTCCTTTTTTTTTTTTTTTTTTTTGGTTTTACGAGATAGGGTTTCTCTGTACTGTTTTGGAGGCTGTCGGTCCAGCCTGGCCTCGAACTCAGAGAGATCTGCCTGCCTCTGCCTCCCGAGTGCTGGGATTAAAGGCGTGTGCCACCACCGCCCAGCTCTCGCCTTCCATCTTGACATGAATTGGGGGATGAAGTTCGGGGAGCCTGGCTCAGAGGTAAGTGCCTTCACTCACTGAGCCGTCTTACTGGCCCAATGAAGTTCTTTTTAAAGATGCAGCAGAAAGAAGCCAGTCTCTAATTACACCCTGGAGGATTCCATTTAAGCAGCAGGCTGGAAGCTTCTGAGCTGGAGTGATGGAGAAAAGGTAAGGAGTGGCTGGGGTTAAGTGTGCAGGGCATAGCACTATACAGAATAGTCACGGAGCTTGAGAGAAACACCCTTCATTTGTCAGTGAGGGCCATACAGATATAAACTTACATTAACATTTAAAGGATTGTTCACAAAGAAGCCAGCTTTATTGTATGATAATTTCAACAAAACTCTTTAAAATATTCTCCTTCAGTGGCTAGAGACTAAGCAGTCAAGAGCACTGGCTGCCCTTCCAGAGGACCCAGGTTTGATTCCCAGCACCCACATGGTGGCTCCTGTCTTAAGTCCAGTTCCAGGGATTCCAGTGTCTTTTTCTGGCCCCCAGGAGTACTAGGCATTCACATGGCACACACAGATACACAAAGACAAAACATCCATATACATAAAATAATATTTTTAAAATTTTTAAATATTCTCCTTGATTCCAGAAATATCTTGAGTGCCAACAATGGGGCAAGCACTGTGAGAGGATTGGATGAGAGTGTGTGAGAGAGAGAGACAGGCCTGAACCAACCATGATGCAAAGGTCCAAAACAGCCAGAGCTGTGATGTCCCAGAGAAGGCCACTCTTTCTAGAGGTGGGGACCAAAGAGAGCTACTCAGAGGGAGAATGTGAGCTTGAAGCAGGAGCCATTCATTCATTCATTCAACAAACATTTATTTTTCACCCTTCTGTGTGCAGAGCTCTGTCTCGAGCCCTGGTCCTTGTGGAGCATACACTCTCATAGACAAGGTACAGGTGACTGGTGTGCCACCAGCTAGCAACTATAGGTACCCACGGGAGACACCCAAGGAGCTTGGAGGTTTAATTCAGTTAGGGGAGACACTGCTTTGGAATGCACAGCTAGGGAAGGCTTCTACAAGAAATGACATGGGAGCCGAGGATTATGGGAGTAGCCCTGACTAGTGCAGCCATGTGAAAAGCTTAGGAAAGAAGAGTCTAAGGATTTGGGCAGGAACTACAGCAGACAGAGACTCTGAGCTGGGAGAGTCTGGAAGCGTGAGGGGATCCAGTGGGCAGCTGGAGCGGGGAGAGGATGTGATGGCATCACGCGCGGCACCACGGGCGGGGCTCCTATGACTGTCTGCCTCCAGTGCCTGGCACAGGCAAGGAAGGAGGCCAGGCTGGACTTGGCAGCCTAGTCCTCTTCTTCAGGGACTTACCCAAAGGCATTCAGAGGGAACAGTGCAAGCAACCCATCTTTGTCCTTCTCATGGCTGTGGCTGGTTGATGGGGTTGACTGCCAGTGGTCACATCTTTACTTAGGGCCTCATTAGCTGTGACCTAGAGGAAGCAGTAAACTGCCCACTGGGCTTCTCATAGCATCTCACTGTAACCCAGGGGCCCTTGGCATGTTGGGTAGCCTAGGTGCCCTTGGAAGGTGCGTGGGTCTGGAAGAGGGGTGGCAGGAAGAGCCCCACGGTGCCCAGGATGCACACAAACACAAACACCCACAGGAACAGGCGGTCAACGACCATCGCTACGAATTTCCAGTCCTCGATGACCTGCAGACAGACAGGAACTGGTTACAGGTGCCAAGCACAGAGTACACCCTCCCTCTGAACCACAGGGGCTCAGAACTATACATTGGCATGGCAGGTTCTGAATCCCAAGCTGGCCTCCACTGGGCAGTTCTGGGCTTCTCTTGGTGTTCTTCAACCCCACCTGACCTGACCATGGTTGGTGGGGGAGCAGCAGAGCTACGGGAACTTGAGCTGTACAGTTGTTTCTCAGTATCCTTAGGATCGCCTATGAACACCCGAACCCTGATGCCACTCAGGGCCTCACAGAAAATGTACAATATTTGCACACAGCTCATGCATCCTAGGTAGGTTTTGGTCAACTTAATACAAGCAAGAGTACTCTGAAAAGAAGGAACCTCAATTGGAAAAAAAAATGCCTCTATCATATTAGTCTGTAGGCAAGTATATAGGGTATTATCTTGGTTAATGATTGATGTGAGAGGGTCCAGCCCACTGTGGGTGGTACTACTCCTGGGCAGGTGGTCCTGGGTCATAGAAGAATGCAGACTGAGTTAGTCATGAGGAGCAAGCAAGTGAACAGTGTTTCTTTGTCTATGGTTCTGCCTCAAGTTCCAACTCCCTCAGTGGCTTCCAGCTCCCTCAGTGGCTTCCCTCAGTGAACTATGACTCAGGACATGTAAGCCAAATTTTCTATACCAAGTTGCTTTTGGTCATAGAGTTCAACACAGCAATAGAAACCTAAGACATCATGAAATCCTCCCCTGTATTTACAATGCCTTTAGACCACATGAATAACTAACATAATGTAAATACTATATAAGTAGTCATTGTCCTGTATTTGGGGGACTAATGACAAGAAGAGAGTACACATGTTAGTGCAGACACCTTTCCTACCCATTGTTTTACCCTCAGTCAGATGAATTCATGGATGCAGAAACAGAGACCCAAATATACCACACACAGCGATTTTAAAGTCAAATCTGGCTATGGGTAAAGGAGGTTGTGGCTTAGGGATCGCTAGGTTCCTTCTCATTTTTACCCCAAACCCTCTGTCTCAGCTGGCTTTGGAGAGGGAGATGCAGGGCCTGCCTGTTTGACAAGTGCTTGCAGAACACCTGGAAACCCCACAGCGTCATCAGTCCCACTCAATTCACAGCAGTGCCTGCGGCTTTCCATGATCAAGACTCCGCCTCCTCAGGCCTCATCATCTGGCTCTCTCCATCCCCACTCTCTGGCTCTGCACACACTTCATCTTCTCAGACCCAACCAAGGGGTGTGACACGGGTGGAAACCAGCCTGGCTTCCAGATAGCACCCTAGATGCGCCCGCCTCCTTGGTGCTATGAGACTCTCAGAGAGTGGTCATGTGCCCAGCATTCCAGCATCCCTCCTCCACCGCCTGGCTGGAAAGGCTCTTTGGAAACTCAGGAGTTAGAAATGCAGGCAGCAATGGGCAAGCTGACGTCAGTGACCCAATTTTCCAGGGCCTCATCAATGGTGTGTGTCATACTCCAGGATAATCCTAAATCAGATCAAACTCCACTCCCTCAAACACTGATTGTTCTTGTTCCTAAGATTTGGGAAGGCAAGCAGACCTCTACACACAGGGTTGGAAGAATTCATTTTGACAGCCTTAATTTCATCCCCATCTCTTCCTGTTTTCATGCTTCTTACAATGACCAGCTAGTTGTTTTGGAGGGCAAAAGTGCTGTAGATGAGAAACAGCTCCCAGGATGGTTTAGTAGTGGGTCTACCACGAGAGGGAACACAGATTTCTCTAACTTCATATGAGAAACTCACTTGTCAACAAGCTCTTCACATGTTCAGGACAGGGCAAGACCCTCGGAAGGGGCCCAGAGGTTAAGGATCGCAGTTATGTGCCAGCTGTGTGACTTGTCTGGTTATTCTGTGCCTCAGTTTCCCATTGTGAAATAGGGGCTCTAGTGAAAGCCACTTGTCGGAATCCCTGGGAGAGTTAAGATTGGCTGCACACTCCAACCAGAGCACCTGATACAAGTCTGGCGCTACAGGCACACAGGTGTTAGCAACCCACTGAGTCCACCTGGCTCCTTCCCTCTCGGGGCTTGTAATTAACTCACGAGGGCTGCAAGTGCCAAGCAGGTGGTGAGGTCCTTAGGAGAAAAAGCTCAGCATGGGGGCTAGCTCAAGCAGGAGTGCAGGAGACCAGTGCTTCTCATCCAGGGTGTGCACAGGACCCCACAGGAGTTTAAGAGGTGGCTCCTAAAGCTTCCTCCAGAAAACCTGACTCAGTCAAAGATGTAATCCTATCGCTTGGGAAGTGGAGGCAGGAAGATCAAGTCCAAGGTCAGTCCTGGGATGTGGCTTAGTGATAGATGTTTGTCTAGCATGCACAAAGTCCTGGGTTTGAACCCCGGCACCAAATAAAAGCTGGGTTGGGGGGCAAGCCTGAAATCCCAGCACTGGGGAGGCACAGCCAGGAGGGGTAGAAGTCATCCTCCACCACATAGTGAGTTTGAGGCCATTCTGGGTTACATAAAACATTATTTCAAAAAAAATCCATTAGCACTCTGTGTGCTTTTGACTGAAGTGGTGGAGTACAACGAAGACACCTGAAAACTTGCAACTCAGAACTCAAGATTCAGTATGAATTTTGATACGCACGAGAAGGAATGGCATGCACAGGGCAGCTCAGAGTGATCAGGTGCAGACAAGGAGGCTGGTTCTAAGGGTAAGGAGTTGATAACATTTTTTTAAGTTCAAGGTCACCTCCTGCTATGTAGTGAATGTAGTGAGTTCAAGTCCAGCCTCAGCTACAAAGAGATGGGGAAGGAATGAAAGCAAGACTAGCATTATTAAGTACAGCAGGGCTGTGCTTCTGGCTACACTAGGACCAGGAGGCCTCAGAGAGCTGGTTAAAATGCTGAGTTGGAGGCCCAAGAGGAATCTTGGTGTCTAACAAACTCAAATCCACTGAGAACCTTCTCCAGGGCATGAGGCATTCCTCTGTTCTGCCTCAGTGTTTTCTCTACTATAAAGGGTGCTTGCTCTGGCAATTGGGCATAATGGAAGATCACCTCCCAGGGCTACTGCCAGTTGGAGGGGGATGTGAGGGGGGGGGATAAATACTCCATCCTCCATCCAGGACATGATTCTGAGGCTAGTTGTCTGGGTCCTTGGCGGTCTCTATGTGGCACCCATAACAGTAGGCTCACTGATACCCTACAGGAGGGCCCTCTTGCCCTTCATTTTGCTTTCTCTGCATCCTCAGTATTCTTCTTAGGGTTACGTCACAAGTAAGTTACCTGTACCCAAACCCCATCCCAGACTCCGCTTGGGAGAGCCCAGGGCCAGCACTGGAAGATCGTTGTTTCTTCCTCTTCCTCACCTATGAAGCTATACTAAAACATTCCCATCTTGCATGTCTTACTCGGGTGGTGGGGGAAGGGCTGGTGACTTACACTCTGATCTTGGTCATCACTCCTCAGATGCTGGGCGATGAAGGTGACACCCTCTACAGCTTCCTGTAGGTCCTGCCGGAACCTCCCAGAGGACCTCAGCCGGGCACCCCTGGGGTTGCCTGCTGTGTGGGGGCTGGCTGCAGACTTGGGTGTGGCAAGGACCGGGTTCACAAAGTACATGGAATGCCCGTAGACATTGGGTGGGCTGGCGGGGCCTAAGGCAGAGGTGGTTGCAGCATCAGCTGTGGTCCTGTGCAGCTGGCTGGGATGCGGGATCCCTGCTGGGGTAACTTTAAGGCCCGGGCGCTTCATGAAGAGGAAGGTGGGCAGCTTGTGCAGGAAGCATTCCTTGACCCAGGATGCCATGGTGTGAGTGCTGGGTGAGCGGTGGTGCACGTTGAGGACACACACAGTGGTGACGATGGAAAAGGTGACCAGCACCATGGTGAACAAGAGGTACTTGCCGATGAGCGGTACGTCAAGGGAGGTGGGAGGCACAATCTTGGAGATGAGCAGCAAGAAGAACGTGAGTGCCAGCAGCACGGAGATGCAGAGTGTCATCTTCTCCCCACAGTCAGAGGGCAGGTAGAAGACCAGGATGGCCAGCGAGGTGATGAGCACGCAGGGAATGATGAGGTTGATGGTGTAGAAGAGCGGCTTGCGCTTGATGATGAAGTCATAGGTCACGTCCACATAGCTGGGGTCCAGCGGGTTCACTGTCCTTCGTCCTGGGAGGGCCACAATGTCCCACTCACCACTGGGAGTAAAGTCATCCATGATGGCTGTGGGTGATTTAAGGACCATGTCAATCTCTGTGTGGTCATAGGTCCAGGAGCGAAATTTGAGGGTGCAGTTCTGTTGGTCGAAGGGAAAGTGCTTCACCTCAATCTTGCAGGCGCTCTTGTAGATGGCAGGGGGCAGCCACTGGATGCTGCCATTGGAACGCACAATGACGTTGGCATAGAAAGACACCTCGTAGGTCCCATCAGCGCTGGAGTGGGGTAGGGCATAGAGGAAGACATCACAAATCTATAGAGGAAGACTGGCTTGTTCTCACCCAATGTCTACGGGCATTCCATGTACTTTGTGAACCTGGTCCTTGCCACACCCAAGTCTGCAGTCACCTCCCACCCAGCAGGAAACCCCAGGGGTGCCCGGTTGAGGTCCTCTGGGAGGACTCTTGGGGGGTCATCTGCCTTCCTCACTGAAACAGGCCTGCTTTTCTCTGCTAACCCTCTACCCTGAGGCACTGAAGGCCTCTCATGGAATTAGCTCAGTTCAGGCTCACAAGAGTCCAAGGAGGCAACGTTTCCATATCCATTGTGTTCCTCATTTTACAGCTTGGATAGTGAGGCTTAGGGAAGCTGGAGGATGTTATCACGCTCCTTAGACTAGTAAGCAGTAGACATGAGACACGGACGCCCGTCTTATTCCATCCTTGGCTGTCTCATGCTTGCTCTCTTTTCCCGGGCTGACCTCAGACCTCTGGGTTCCTAATCCTCCTGCCTCATCCTCTCCAATAGCTGCTGTCACACTAATGTACCCAAGGTATTGACACATGACGAGTCAACGTTCCAGGCCCCCAACACTGACAAAGCCACCAAGTGACAAAAAGACAGAATGGTGAGGCAGCAGTGATAAGGGCACTGGCCTGAGGGCCTGAAGGCTGGCCCAGTCCCTGCGGTGCTGAACAGGACAAGGCTTCCCCTCCCTGGGCTTCTCTTCGCACCCTCCCACTCAGAAGTCTCTGTCTCCATCATCTCTGTCTCTCTAGCTGTGGCCTACAAGTCTGAGTGAAGTGTAGAAGAGGAGGGAGGGTATGGATGACCCTGAAGACTGGCTTCCTGCTCTGGCCTGACCCCCACTAACTTTAGCCACCCCATCACTCACTTGTTATACAACACGATGTCAGGCAACCAGACACGCTTTGCGGGGATCCTCAGAATGTTCACCCCTTCATAGTAGGAGCTGTTCCAGGCCAGACGGTAGTCAGTCCATTCCTGAGTACACAGACAAGGCCGTGCCACCTGTAGGTCCACTGTGACCCGAGAGCAGCCCCAGAGGAAACATCACCTAGGCTGGGGACCCTCCAAGGCACTTACCTGTTTTAGCCAGATGTTGGTGGTCATGATTTGTTCTCGCTCATTCTGGGGAGGGAAATGAGGGGATCAGTTCATCTGGAAGAAAGGCCTCCCACAAATGGACAATACTTTACCTCTAAAAGGCTCTGAGCCCCGGGCCTGCGTGACCAGCTACCCCTGAAATATCTCTTAGGTGATATGTTACCTTTTGCAATGCTGAACACATCCTGACAAGAAGCTTAGGAAGAGGAAACGATTTTCACTCACACTTTCATGGTGAGGGTGGCGTGGCCCTCACGTGGGGCTTGTGCCTGGTCATACTATAGGGGCAGGTGGAAAGCAGGGACAGATGAGCTAGAACTGGGACTGGGCTTTGACCTACAAGCCAGCTCATGACAACCTATTTCCTCCTCTCAGCAGGTCCAAGGCCTCTCTGTGTAGCCACCTGGGGACGCAGTGTTTAAAGACATGAGCCTGTTTGAGACGTTCCATATTCAGGCAGGCATTCAATCCCATTTCAGAAGGCTACATAGTCTTATAGTTCCAACACTGCAAAAGCGTGAGGTCTTTCCTAAGATCCCAGACACTCTCTTAACTGCAAGTCCCTGTAAAATCGGAAGATAAGTTACTTCCAACGTAGGATGGCGTAAACATTCCCATTTGAAAAGCAAGAGACGGGAGCATAGCAAGGACTGGCGCCAAAGGGGCTGGAGAGAGGCGTCAAAGGTTGAGAGCAATGGCTGCCCATTCAGAGGACCTGAGTTAGACTTCCAGCACCTACAAGATGGCTCACAGTCACTGCAACTCCAGTCCCTGAGGATTCCATGCCCTCCTTTGGTGCATGTACAAACATTCAGGTAAAATACCCATATGCATAAAATAAAACTAAATCTTCCAAGACTGGACCAAAGCAAGACTGAAACCTTTCAGAGAAAACCTAAAATTTTGTAACTCCATGTCCAGCATGTGGGGGCTCTTGGTGATATCCTCTGGGTTCCAAAGGTGGGAGATAGGCCCATCCTTCCAGCTCCGTGGCCCAGAATGACTCCACTTGGTTGTCTGCAGTTTTCCTTGGTGAGTGTTCCATGGTTTCTCCATTTCTCCCAAATCCTAGGGCCTCCCCTGCGAAATAATCATTACCTTCACAGCTTCACACTGGCTTCTCAGGGTCTCCTTGCAGAGCTTCCAATCCTGTCATGCGCTGGCTGCCTCGGCAGCTCTCTGAAACCCTGAAAAAGGTTTCATCACCCCGTTCCTCTCACATCTTTCATACCTGAGAAACCAGGGCCAAGTGGACAATGCTAATTCTGATGCCAGCTCAAGAGGGTGCCCCTCCTAACACAGCTGCTCTAGACTCCACGTTCTTGGCTGACTCTGAGAAGACACATCCTGGTTAGTGGGTTTTGATCAGAACACCCTGGCCGTGGCATTTGAACTTCATGCTCTCTCCCTTTAAATTCACTTGCCAGGGTCTTCAGTGGGTGGAGTCATGCTCCCAAGGCATCCTAACCCTAACCCCTCATTTTATTCTCCTGCACAATGCCTGGTTTCCCTTTAATGGCACCAATCTTTTTTTTTTTTTTTAGCAGTTATAGCCAATTTGTCAGCAATCCCATCCACCTTCAACCTTAGCCACATACACAGTCCTTTCCGAGGTGTGTTTCTCAGGTCTTCCTGGTAGGAATTTTCATTATGAAGTGGACAGTAAGCGATAACCATGTCACAACATGAAAGCTATATTGCCTTAATATTTCCTCAGCCAAGCAAATTAATCCATAACCTTTTAACAGGGCCAGATTTTTTTTTTTGGCCAGAATATAGCAGAAATGGCCTGTGGTCTAGCTCCCAATTGAGTCTTTGTTCCCTTCTGAATCTCATGAGCCTAGCTAACAGGAAAAGTCAGCTCTCTCTCTCTCTCTCTCTCTCTCTCTCTCTCTCTCTCTCTCTCTCTCTCTCTCTCTCTCTCTGTCTGTCTCTCTGCATTCTGGTCTCCCACAAGCTCACCCAAATGATCCACTAAACTCTGATTACAGGTGCTATGGCATCTCTCATTCTGTAGCTATATATACCTCCCCCACCCCCTGCTTAACTCATGAACAACCTGGTCAGGTCTATCTCAGCGACAACCCTGCTTCCCAGTTCCAGTTTTCTGTATTAGGTATTTTATTCATCACTGCGACCAAATGTGTGACAAGTAGCTAAGTGCAGAGACCCAATCCCAGCTCACAGTGTCATGGCAAGGGAGGCTTGGCAGCTGGGGCTTCGGCTTACGTGTGGAAACTTGTGGCTGGTCATGATGAGTTGGCAAATGGATTCACACCCTCAACAGGAGCCAGGCTAACATCTGTACACCCACCCTCAGCGACTTACTTCTGCCAGCCAGGCCTTACTATTTAAACATTTCACAATTCCTCAAATGAGTGTCACTAGCTAGAGACCAAGTGTTCTTACACGTGAGCCCGTCTGTGGAGACCATTTCACATTCCAACCAGATTAGATAGCTCAAAGATATTTCACACCCAGCACATCGGAGACAAAGCTCATGACCCCACCCCCCAAAAAACCTGGAAGTTCTGGCACACCATTTCCTGGTTCATCAAAGCCTCTCAGGTGCATTTCCTATATCTCAAAATTGTCTACTTCTCTCCATCTCTGTTGCTACTAGTATCTGTTGCTTGGACAACTGCAGTAGCTTCCCAGCTGGCATTCAGGTATTCTTTTGAATCTCAGTTCCTCAGATGATGATTTTGTGTTTGGGAAATCTACTATTTCCCAAACTTACTCGAGTAAAAGCCAAAGTCCTCGCAGGGCCTGCAATACACCTGCCTCTGCATTTGCAACCCCCACAGTGGCCAAGCTCGTTTCTTTACCTCTGACTTTGCATAAACTCTCTCCCTCCCCTGGAGATTCACACAGTTTTGACTTAACTTTCTTGAAGTCTCAGAAATGTCACCCTATCAGAGGAATCTCCTGCCTTCCTGCTCTCACCACACACACCCTGTGCTGTCTTCATAACATTTCTACCTGGACATCATCTGACATTTGTGTACTGTCCCTACCTCCCACTAGCATCCAAGGACCCTAAGGAGAAAAAAACCCTAGAGCAACAGGGATATGTTATGGATACCTGATAAATATTTTTGGATAAATAAATTAATCCTATTATCTTATTATTACAATCGAGTTCAATACTGTCTGTCTTTCACCTGGACCACTGGACAATCTAATTGATGCAAATCCATTCTGTGTTTCTCTCTCTCTCTCTCTCTCTCTCTCTCTCTCTCTCTCTCTCTCTCTCTCTCTCACACACACACACACACACACACACCCCTATTCACATTATTCACATTCTTCTGCAAGAATGAGTTTGCTAAAAACTTCCTGTTCATCCTTCAGTCTTATCTATTTATGCTACTTTTCTTCTACAGAGTTAGATTAGTAACTCCCCCAGCTCATTTTACTGCCCTGGCTCCTTTATTCTGTGCCCCAGCCATCTCAGCCCTCCTTAGTTCTTTGAATGTATCTTGAGCTCTCTGTCTACACACGTTCCCCTGCTTCCTCTTCAGTAGCTAACTTCCAACACTCCAATTCCAGCATGGTAACCTCAAGCAATTCAACTAGGTAAGTACATCAGGACAAAGAGTGACACATGATGCGACATTCTTCACATATATAGGTATTTGCTCTACAAAACCTTTCATCTTCCTTCCAGATCTCCTCATGCCACACTAGAGTGTAGCCCTCATCTACAAGTTCAAGATGGCCAGTGGGATTCCAGTCATCATACTCATGTCCCAGGCTGTTATGCGGGAAGGAGCAGAAGAAAGATGCATGTTACTTGTCTCATTTTGATAAGTTTTTTTTCCCCAGGGAGTTTTAAAGTTCTTGTATGTTTTATGTTCTAGAAATCACTTTTGGTTCTTCTTAAAATTTTCCATTATCATTCCTTGAACATATTTATTTATTTATTTATTGGTTTTTCAAGACAGGGTATCTCTGTAGCTTTGGAGCCTGTTCTGGAACTAGCTCTTGTAGACCAGGCTAGTCTTGAACTCACAGAGATCTGCCTGCCTCTCCCTCCCGAGAGCTGGGATTAAAGGTGTGCGCCACCAACACCCAGCTCCTTGAACATATTGATGACAGTTATTTTCATTATAAGAAAAGTCTTTTTATTTTAAATTATGGTAAAATATACTTAGCATAAAACTTAAATGTTTAACATTTTTTGAGGATCTAAACTGAGGTCCTCATGCTTGTGTGGCTAAATGAACCATCTCCCCATCCCCCATGCCTCCTAGGTGTCATCTGCTGGTACCTGTCTCCATAGGCTCTACAGCAGGCAGCAAAGGGAATCATCTTAATCTAGTCTGGACTCAGCCAGTTTGGAAGGAACACTGGTTTTTGTAAGGACTGATCTTCTATTGTTGTTGTTTTGTTTCCAGTACCAGGGTGACCCTTCTGGGATGTCCTTGTCACATCCAGACTGCCATTGTGCATCCTGTCAGCCCTGTCATGGCCCCAGCACCAGCCCAGCTTCCCCGCGCCTCAGCTGCCACTCTCTCGGTTCCAGGTCTTAGCTTCCTAGCCAGATACTGTTGGCTAGTCATCAGGAGTGGACAAAAGCACCATAGACTGGCAGGGTTGCCTCCTGGAGCCTGGCCACTCGAGTCCTGGCTGAGGCCGCTAATTACCTTAAAACAGAGCCCTCCCAGCCCTCCAGCATTTTGTCCAGCCCTTTTAACGTTCTCCAGAAAAGCTAATCTTCCAGCATCTCTACCATCAATGAAAACTGAAAACCTTGATTTATCTTTTAAAAATATTTTTAAGCAAGGCATGATAGTGCATATCTATAATCCCAGCATCTGGGGAGCTGAGGCAGGAGGCTCTTGAGTTAAAGTCAAAGCAGAGCAACATAGATAGACCTTGTCTCTAGACAAGATTGTTTTGTGTGGAGGCGTCATTTCCTTGGTGAGCACACTGATATCCCGATACTGCCTGACCAGTTTTCACAAATGCAGTTTTTGTTCTGTTTTTGTGTGTGCATGTGTGGGTGCACATACGTGCAGGTATACATGCAGGTTTCAAAACTGAAGTCGTCTCTACCTACTGAGGCAGGGTCTCTTGCTGAACCTGGAACTCATTCATTCTAACTATTCTACGTAGCCCGCTTGCCCAGGGACTCTCTGTCTCTGCCTCCTGAGTCCTTAGTTTGTAGGTAGACACCATGTCTACCCAGCTTTTAAGTAGGCTCCGGGGACCCAAATTCTGGTACTTACACTATATGGAAAAGAGGTTTTCCTCTGAGCAGGATCCCCAGCCTCTTACCTCATTTTAAGATATGGGACTTTTCTATCTTCCAGAAATGCCTACTCTACTAGTATCTGCTGAGTGTGACAGAATATTGGTATAGGACTCTGGCTGGCACTCCACAAAAAGAAGAGTAGGGAAAGCCTGCTTGCCCCTCCAGCACAAACCCCTTGTCTATTTCCTAGACAGTCCATCTTTAAACTCCCTCCTCAAAACCAAATGCCTTCCAAAAAACCAGAAAGGAATCCTGCCTCCTACAGTCAAGTATTTCCTTTAGACACGGCTTTTGGGACTACAGCAGCCCACATGGGTGCTTGCAGAGGTGAAGCTGGAGGCTGTGTTCCCTCTGCTCCAGGAACCTCTATCATTCCACAGGGTCCACAGCTCAGATCTGGCAGGGGCAGCCTGAGTCTAGCAGTGTGGCCAGAACTCCCTACTAGTCTGCCCTTGCTAGAGTGGATAGCTGCCGTGCCTGATTAAGCTCAAGGCCTTTCTTCAGTGGCCAGGGTTGCTCAGACAGCAGTCTTGGCTTGGCCTGGCCAGAAGCACTCCCTGCTTTCAGCTTCCCGTGGCAGAGAAAAGGGGTATGCCACTCCCCATTCTGGGGCTAGGCTTCCTCCTAAGGGACAGAGGCAGCGACCAATTTGGGCAAAGCCTTCGTAAGCACTATGGATGGTAGAGTCTGAGCATGTGGGGCTCATGGGCTGTAGGGAACATGGGTGAAGAAGATGACACTGCCTAGGGAAGGCCCAGCTCCTTCAGCTAGCTCCTGGTGGCTGGACACAGCGTCTATGTGACCATTTCCTCCAGGCTGCTTCCAGATTCTAACCCTTGGGCGGGGACATGGGAAGGTTTACAAGGGACCATGTTTCCTTCAGACACCCTTACTCTGAGACAGCTGTGGTGAGCAGGAGCAGGGGAGGAAATTCTAATCGCTTTCATCTTCCTCAGCACCCCCTCTTGCCTCACTCCAGTTTTCAAAACCTGGAATGCTGTCACCCTCCTTACCTCACCTGAAGCACCTCGTCCAGACCTTCATCCACATTTCTCAGTCCCACACCTGAGCCTCTGTACCCAGCATTTCTCCTGGCCTTGTTCCTATTTCCACCACCAAATTAGCGATATGGGAGGCCATCCTTGCAAGCTGGGAGTCATGAGTGTTGAAGGACCCAATGAGTAGAGTCCATAATGGGTCCATAGGATGCCTGCCTAGTGGTCCTCCATGACCCCTTCTTCTCTGACAACTAAACACCATGGATCTTCTCCAGTCTTCTTGCCACATACTGAAAGATCTAAACCAGCCAAAGAAATTATATTCCTCTGGCTAATAATTGGTTAGACTTAGATGTGAGTTACTAACCCTGGCCAATGAGATTAAGTGTGTATCAAGAAGGCAGGATTCTGAGAGAGTTTTGTTGTTGTCCCAAAAGGATCCAAAAGATTCCACAGCTATTAGCATAACTGGCAATACCCCAGAGTCCTGACATCATTGAAGAGTTAGCCAACACTCAAGCATTGGCCTGCTCCTGGTTATAGGGTATGATAGATGCCCATTTTCTTGTAGCCACTCTTGGTTGAACGTCCTATTACTGAATGCCAAAGCATTTTAATTGCTATTGAGAATGTGGGTTTTTAGATGGCTTCAACTATGAGTCAAGAGTTGCAGACAGGACAGGACATCCCAGGCAGTAAGAACAGCACATGTATAGGCAATAATTTTTTTGGATGAAAGAATCCTAACCTGGAAGGATTCTCAGTATGTTCATAGTGTAGGTAAATTGTTTGATTAATAGATATGGGGGAAAGGTTCCATTGTCTGAAAAGTAGTGTTGGCCGTTCATTTACAAAAAGCTGTGCCAGGGAGGAGGAATGGAAAGATGTACATGGGATGGAGCTGGATAGCAGGACACACAGCTGGTACCGATGGTTGGTATTAAATGGATATTTGAAAACAGCAATAGAGAGAATTTTGAATATACCCACATGACGGGGAAGTCCTATGTATATGTCAATAAAGCACTCTTGGCCAATAGGGAAGCAAGATTGGTGGGACTAGGAGTCCAGGAGGACTCTGGGTAGGAGAAACACAGGGAGTCACCATGTAGCTGCCTTAGGGGTAAGAAGCCCGGAAACTTTTCTCCGGTAAGAGAAATACTTAGATTAACAATTATGGGATAAATACTTAAGTCAGAGCTAGCCAGTAAGAAACAAGCAAGGCCAACAGCTTCATAATTAATACAGTGTCTTGTGTGTTATTTGGGGACTACAACTCGTCAGAGCCCAGGCGACCGGTGGGGAAAAACCAAAGCAGCAGATAAGAAATAGGCTTCTGCCTACATTCACATAAATTATAAATGTCTGAAGTTCTAGGTATGGCAATGACCCTGGACGTGATCTTTATATATATGTAAATTCAATGTCACACTGCATCTCACAGAGGAAAATTACTATGTGTCTAGCAAACATATATATTAATATATGTTTTAAGAAATAGTAGAGGAAAAGATTAGCAGTCTGAGGATGTCACCTATCTGGTCAGGTCAGAAGTAACATTTCAGTCACATAACTCCCAGCCCTGCGCCCTGGATGGCCTTCGCCATCCACTGCTTTCCCCAAGGCCCCAAGGGCTACTGGAAACAAGCCCTGCCTCTTCTCCTGAACCTCAACCCACAGTTGCCCAGGCACCTACCACACTGATGAGCTGGGACAGTAGTAGCTCCAGCTGGACAGAGATGAGCTGAGAGGCGCTGGTGGCTGGGCGGATTAGGTTGTTGTAGCGGGTTTTGTTCAGGAGGTCATCCATCAGCTTCTCCTCGGCATTGGCCAGGCGGCAGTCCCCTGGGAAATCGGACAGTCAGGCCCGCTGGGCCCTTGTCTGGAGGAACCCTACTGCAGCTGTGGCAGTGGAGAGGGGGCTGTAAGAAGCACAGTGCAGGAGCCCTGGGGCTGTGGCGGGGCATAGGTGCCAGCATGCCTGCCTGTGCTAGTCTTTCCTCTGGGAGAGGCCACTTCCTCCTGCTCTTCCTGGCAGGGACAGGAAATGGCTTTTCATGCTTCAGACATCTGGTCCCAAGCTTGGGCTTTTGTTCTTTCCTGGGATCCCCCCAGCGCCCCCACAGAGCCACTGAGGCTATCTGTTCTACACCCAGCTGCCCCAGCTACCCCTCCATAGTCAGGCAGTCTTCCTACAGAACACTGGGTGGAGGCTCTTCCCCACCCACAGCCTCCCAGAGCTGAAGGCAGCTAAACCAAGAATGCTTTGCCTTGACCTTTGAGGCCTTTTGCCCTTAGCAATGGCTTCTTTTTCTCACCTTACATTTTTCTCTCACTTTCCCACCTATCTAACCCCAGACTCTATTCTCTGGCCATTCCTACTGCTAACCTTTTCCCCACCTCATTTCCGGGGTCTTTGTGCATATTCTTTCTTCTGCCAAGACTATTCCTGGCCCACAAACTGACCAGTGTGTGAGTGGAGTTTGTACCAGGTACTGTGCTGTGTGCTAGGGATAAGAGCAAACCCAGGAGCACTTCCTGGCCCCCAAGGGTGGCATGTACATACCTTAACAGGGACACTTCCTGAAATGTGGGCTTGTCTGCACAACTGGGTCTGTGGTAGTATCTTCTCAGAGGGGTAAAAAAACCAAACTGGGGCTGGAGAAGATGGGCTCTGTCAGTAAGCTGAGAGGAACTGAGAGGAGGATCCAGGTTTGAATCCCCAAGCCCACACAAAATAGCCTGAGTGGGCAAAGAAAAGCAGGTCCCTGAATCTTACTGGCTGGCCAGCCTAGCCCAAAGTAGTAAGCCTAAGGTTCATTGGGAGACCCTGTCTCAAAAAATAAAGGTGGAGGAAAGACACCCATATGTGTCTGCAACACTACACACATACACACACACACACATACACACACACAAGTCTACAATGCTACATAAACACACATACACATGTCTGCAACACTACACACATGCATACACACACACACACACACACACACACACACTCTAGAATAAGAAAATAAAGAAGAGAGGGTTGAGCTAAGGGAGGCTTTTTTGAATCCAGACTTTCACCTATAGAACACAAGGTCTCTTTGAGACACCAAAAGGAGTGGTCCAGCTGGCAGCTGTTTTCTTGATTCTAAGCCACATCCAGGACCAGCTCCAGCACAGCCTCTTGCAGGGAGCCCCAGACAGCCACCATCCCTTGGAGCATTCGCAGCCCAAGATCTGTCCTTCCTGCGCATCCTAGACTTCTCACCAAGTGGTATTTGGGTCTTTGTTTCATCTGCTGCTTGTGTCTGGGAGTGAAGGGGAAGCTTAAGGACTTGATTGTGCTCTGGGTATCATTAAGGAGACAGTCAGATAGGGTGGGGGATGGGACATGGAAAGGAGACTCAGAGGAAGGTCAAGGGCACTTGAGCAGGATGCCCAGGAGCAGGAAAAGAGATGAGAGTGAGCAGAGGAAACACTGTTGGGGCAGGAGAGCAGGTAGAAGGCTAGAAGAGGAGGAGGGGCCTACAGAGGTGGGGGTGGGGTGCTGATGAGGGGCTGCTTGTCTCACCAAGCCCAGGAGTCTGGTTCTATCTTTCCTAAAGAGCCTTCACATCTTCCCCAGATTCCCCTTCTTTGGATGGAGCCAGAGTACTTTGAACATGAATCACTCCACTCTAGCAAATGTGAGGACTTCTGGGTGGGTGCTGGGCTAGCCACATGTTTATGGTGAGCAGCCGCTGCCCTGCCTACCCCATGCACTTTCCAATTCATTGCTTATCTAGAACAAATGCAATATTTAGTGCCTTGAGAAAGATGCTCCTGGCACACCTGCTTCCTGCTGCCCCTCCCCCAGGCTGAGTTGGGGGTGGAGTAGGAGGGCTGTCCAGCGGATGTCTGAGCTAGAGTTTGAGCTTGGCTCTTTACATCTTGAATTCCTTCTCTACAGGCCACCAGCTTAAATACCCTTAGGACCAATCTTCAGTCACATGATACACCTGGATCCCTCTTACAATCTTTCGTTTATTTGGGATGACCTCTTATTTCATGGAGAGGAATCTGAGTTGTCCAGATCTAGCTGCCGTTCTCTGGCAACACTGGAGTAGGCTCTGCAGTTCCCAGCCTCCAGTCCTGCAATACCGAGAGAAGTTGGATCCATCTCTGCTGCCCCAGGAGGCAGGTGCAACTGGGCCAAAGTTCCAGGCTGCTCAGCAGGTGATGGGGGCGGTGCTTATGCTTGAGCTCTGAGCCCACCTGGGCTACTTAGCTTTGTCATCTTCAGCTTGTCCTCTTTAGTATTCAGCTAACCCAAGGGACTCTTCCCATCTCACGGACCAGCTATGAACTCTGGAGTTAGGAGTTCCTCTAGACCAGCGGTTTTCAACCTGTGGGTCATGATCCCTTTAGAGGTCATATCAGATATCCTGTATATCAGGTATTTACATTGTGATACATAACTATCAAAATTATAGTTATGAAGCAGCAATAAAAATGATTTTATGGTGGGGGGAGTCACCATAACAAGAGGAACTGCATTAAAAGGCTGCAGCATTAGGAAGGTTGAGAATCACTGCCCTAGACCATGTAGGACTCCTGGCTTCTTTAACACAGAGGCCATCCCTGACCCCTGTATTTATTTAGTGCCCCTGTTAACTTCCCCCGGAGGGAGGCTGCCCTGCTGAGGCCGACTCTGGTGTGTGTGCTTGCTGGTAAGTCTGTGGATGGGCCAAGGGATGGAAAGATTACCAGCAGGGCTGTTACAGCTGGGATGCATCCCCTCTTTTCATCTACAAAGTGGAGGGGTGCCCCCAAAAGCACATGTTTAGAGTTTGCCATCTATTCTCAGTGATCACCAGAGCCTGTCAGACAGAAGATGGGGACAGGTGGGTTCACCCCCAGCTTCTCAAGAACTAACTAGTAGGGCTTCCATTGGATCAAACTTTTCTATGGTGGAGCAGAGAAGCCACCACTAGAGGTCATCATGATACAATGATGTTGATATAAAGTGGCCCCACTGGCCTCTGCCCAGGGTCTTGCCTTTGTAGATTTTCCATGGCAAGAAGGCTCCCCTCACTAAAGGGGTGAAGGACCTAATAGAGATTGTAGTGGAATTGTGAACATTTGTGGTGTGTCCAGTCTGAGAATGCATGCCCAATCAAGAAGTGGAAAGCTATCTTACTGTCTGGGGATGTCATGTTTAACAGAATCTCGTTGGCAAATATGTATCTGAAAGGCAGGGCTTGTCAGGTGAGGGCGTGTGCCTGTTAAAGGGTAGCATCTTAGGAACTCCAAACGCTGTCTCAGAAGGAACTTGCATACACTAACAATGCTTCTGCAATCACAGATAGGAATCACCTGGCTATACAAAAGCAGAGTCCCAAGTTCCATCTCCAGAGATTCAGATCCCTTGAACCCAGGGTCCAGGAGTCTGTATAAGAAGATGCAGATAGTCTAGTGGGACCACACTTCAGAAACACTGCAAATGTTTGCCAGATGACAGGCAAGGCAGATGGTTGCCATGAAACAGATAGGGAAATTGAGAGGGGGTAATGGGATAGGGGTACCCAGCAGGGAACCAAAGCCATAATGCACCCTGTGCCAATGTTATCTTTAATAAGAGGAAGGGATCTTGATTGCCCCACCGTTTCCAGCACTAGCACCTTCTGGAGGTAGTCTCTGTGGGCAGAAGATGCAGCCTTTGTCCTCAGGGTTCCCTGGGGCTCAGAGGACAAGCTGGTCCAGATGCAGGTGTGTGTGTGTGTGTGTGTGTGTGTGTGTGTGTGTGTAAGAGAGAGAGAGAGAGAGAGAGAGAGAGAGAGAGAGAGAGAGAGAGAGAGAGAGAGAGAGATGGGAGAGGTAGGAGCTACACAGGACCTTGGAATTTAGGAACCTTGGGATGAGAGTTGAGCAGGTTTTTCTATCAATGTCAACAGCAGGTTTCAGAATTGCAGACCACAGATCACTAACCTGCCTTCAGCTAAGCAGGGTTAAGGAACCAGACGAGGCAGTGCCTGCCATATGTGATTTCTGGAAAACCCGTCGCAAAAGTACAAAAATACTTTCCACGTGTGGGATGGTGCTATTGGGGTGACCTCTCTTGCCAAACAGCAGGTTTATTCCCACACATTTACAGCTTGGCAATACTGTCATTTCACTAGAAAGGAAAAGATTCTCTGGGGGCCTGGTAAGGACCTCTTAGCGCCGGGATTGGGCTGAACTGCCCAGACTGAAAACACTCACGACCTATAGTGACCTGGCAGTGCAGTAGAAGGTGGCAGGGACCCCCAAACCTCACCGGGCCACCACCCAGGCCTTTCAGGCAACCTTACAGGGTTTGCCCCGCCCACGCTCCACACGGGTCCGGCCACTCCTCCCACACCGCGACCCTTGTCCCTCCCACCTTCCCTGAAAAGAACTCACCGTGCCGCCGAAGCAGGGCAAGCAGAAAGACGAGGAGCAGGGGCGTGCCCCTCATGGCCGGCCCGGTGGCTGTGGGTCACCCTGCACTGGAGCTGCGAGTGAGCGACTGTGCAGGTTGGCAGCCTGTCTGACGGCTGCACTAGGACCCAGCGGAGTCCTCGCGCCCCGCCCGGAAAGCAGCTGTGGGACCCGCCCACTCAGGGGACTGAACTGGAGTTAAGGGGAGACCTAAGGCTGGGTGTGTCGATGGGGACCTGTGGCTAAGGATGACGGTCCCGAGACTTTCCCACACTCAGGGACCCGGCAGTGCGTGGCCTTCGGGAAGGTGGACTAGCTTTTGTCTCCTTATTTGTCTTGGAGACTGGGGAAGGGTGGAGTTACAGGGTGAGGGAGGGTCATAGTGGGCTGACTGCTTCCCCCTCACCGTCTTAGCCTGGGTTTACCAGAAGCAACTTGAGTGGCTGAGGGGAGCAAACAGCAATCTCCCCCACCACCACCTTCCACCCATCCTAGGTGGCCCACGGCTCAATTTCTAGAGTTAGAGGACAAGACAAAACAGGTGTCAGTGTCAGAAGGAACCTCCTCCCAACCCCTCACCCACCAATATGTGCAAAAGGACCTCGAATTCCAGTCTAGGGGGCCTCTCAGGCGGGGAGGCTTGCTAAAGCCTAGGCTGGCTCTCCCAGCCCTGCATCTCCTCCTCAGAGACGGCCAGCAGTTTCAGGGACAGAGTGAGCAGAGCAGGGCCAGGAGGAGCCACTACCTAAAGAAGACAGAGGTCTGCCGTTACCAATGTCTTCTTGCTATATAACTTGACATATTGGCCCAGGGCCTTTTTTTTTTTTTTTTAACAAAACAAAACAACAGGCCGGGCGTTGGTGGCGCATGCCTTTAATCTCAGTACTCCGTAGACAGAGCCAGGCGGATATCTGTGAGTTCGAGACCAGCCTGATCTACCGATCGAGTTCCACGACAGGCTCCAAAACAATATAGAGAAACCCTGTCTCGAAAAACAAAAACAGAAACAAACAAACAAAAATCAAGAGCAAACGAACAAACAAAACAATGTCGATGCCATGCACTGCCATGCCCCTTAGGAATGGTTTGGAGGATTCGGGTCAGTGAATCCTCTGCTCTTTAAACTGCAGCAATAATAGGTGAGATGCACGAAGTGAATCCAAAGTCACACTGGACTGAAAGGAAGTCCATGATCTCCTTGAACCAAACCCAGGAAAGAGATGCAGAGGGCTGACGCGTGGGACCTGTGTGGTTTTGGAAGCTAAGGGCAGCAATAGGCCCTGCCACATGAAGGGGGATTTAGCAGACTCTTGGTTAAAGCTAGAGTGCACACCAGTGCTTGAGAGGATGCTGGGAAGTGGTGGAAAGCCTGCTTGCCAATAGTTGTCTGCAGCCATGGCTGTCTGGGGTATGTACTATGTCTGATGTGCCGCAGTATGGGGCGGATTGTGCGGCAGTATGGGGGGGGTAGAAGAGGAGAGAGAGCATATGGGGGTTCCGGAGAAAGGAAAAAGGACCAGAGGGGTGCGGAAGGAGACAAAAGAGTACTTGGGAGGGTGTGGTCAGTGACCAAAGCATATTATATACATATATTACATATGTATGACAATGTAATAGTGAACACTTTTTTTTTTTTTGGATATAGGGTTTCACTATGTAGTCCTGACCATCCTGGAACTTGTTATGTAGGCCAGGCTGGCCTCAAACTCAGAGATTCCCCCTGCCTCTGCCTCTTGAGTGCTGGGATTAAAGGGATGGACCACTATACCTAGCTCAAACCTATTTTAAAAAATAATATATACCAATACAAAAGGTTTAAAAGGCACAAAATGTAAACTTTCTTAGAAAGTAAAGCCCTCTAGTGAAGAAACATCCATTTTACTGTCATAGGATTTCTTACATATGTGATTAAGTAGCTGATTTTCAATTTTTGTTTGTTTGTTTTGAGACAGGGTTTCTCTGTGGTTTGGGAGGCTGTCCTGGAACTAGCTCTTGTAGACTAGGCTGGCCTCGAACTCACAGACTACCTCTTGTAGACTAGGCTGGCCTCAAACTCACAGAGATCCGCCTGCCTCTGCCTCCCCAGTGCTGGGATTAAAGGTGTGCACCACCACCATCTGGCTGATTTTCAATTGTTTTTTTTTTTTTTTTTTTTTTTTTGGTTTTTCGAGACAGGGTTTCTCTGTGGCTTTGGAGGCTGTCCTGGAACTAGCTCTTGTAGACCAGGCTGGTCTCGAACTCACAAAGATCCGCCTGCCTCTGCCTCCTGTGTGCTGGGATTAAAGGCATGCGCCACCACCGCCCGGCCCAGAATGATTTTTTTTTAATGACACAAAGAAATAAGTTCTTCGTGTGGTACTTGTAGTTTGCCTATAAATCTCAGATGTATAAAATAGCAAAAATGCACCTACAAACAAAGAGCTACAAACAAATTAAGTGAGCAGACAGCCAATAAAATAAGAACCAGTGAATTCACTCCAGGCAAAATATTCCTACAGAAGCCTGACAAAGACTTGATCCTCCTGTGTGGTACATGCAGCCATTTGTGTGCAATTACATGCACATGCTACCATGCATCTATGTGGAGACCAGAGCAGGCTATCAGGTCCTGCTCTGTAATTCTCCGTTGATTTCCTTTGAGACAGGGTCTCTCTATACTTGGAGTTGGCTGGAGGCCAGCAAGCAGCACAGGACTGAGATTACAGGATCATGTAACACCCAGATTTCTACTTGGTGCTGAAGATCCAAACTCGGGTCCTCATGCTAATGCAGCAAGTGCTCCTACCCACAGAACCAATTCCTCGGAACCAGATTTTTAAAACCTTATTTATGTATTTATTATGTATACAACATTCTGCCTCCACATATGCCTGCACACCAGAAGAGGGCACAAGATCTCATTATAGATGGCTGTGAGCCATTGTGTGGTTGCTAGGAATTGAGCTCAAGACCTCTAGAACAGTCAGTGCTCTTAACTGCTGAGTTATCCAGCCCTTAGAATTTTTTTTAATAAGAAAAAAAGAGGTAGAACTATCCAGCTACTTTCTAGGGGCTAGTATACCTTGGCACTGAGTTGCAACAAGGATGTATAAGAAAAGTGCACAGTAGGCCTCTAACCCAAGGGATTGCAAGACCTCCTGAGTCTGATAATTGGGATTTTTTTTTTACTACATACTAATCTCCTATGTGACCTTGAAGAAGTAATCACCTTCTCTCTGCCTTCGTTCCTTCATATTTAAGAAGAGGAAGTAACCTCCCAGTAGGCCTTCTAAGGATGAAAGGAAATAAGTCATGGAAAGTACCTTAACACTGCTTAATAGGCCCGGAACACATAAAACTTAATAAATGTTAGCTGTTACTGTCTATTATGAACACAGATTCTAAAATTCTCGGTAAGATAATACGAAGTCGAGCATATAGGGGAAATAACGCTTCATGAAAATGTAATCGTTCTCCCAAGAATACAGGGACAAGTTCAGTCAGGTAATTCATTAATGTAATAGGCAACCTTAACAAATTAAATATTCATCTGATGCAACCCATACACACTGCTTCCTTAACTCAATAACCCTGGAGTATGGTAAATGGAAGAATTTTACCAGCAATTTCCACTCAAGTCAGACTGAGACAATGCCATCTTCCATCACTGTTTTTATTTAGCTCTGCACTGGAGGTCTTAGGAAATGTGTTAAGTTAAAGTAAATGAAATTGCCAATTTTTTTTTAGGTCACAAGCTCCCCAAATCAGCAATTTATATAATCTAACCTATAATAGGAGCAGATAAAGGTAATAAATTTTAAGAATTGGAGATGAAAAACTACCGGTATTTGTAGACAATATGATTGCTCTGTAGTAGATCCAAGAGATAAATTATCAAACAGACAAATTATTAGGACTAGTGAGAGAGCTAGGAAGGTTGCTGTACTTGGAGATCAACTTAAAAAGATGATTTGTATCCCACAGGGATCTGGAGAGATGTCTCAGCAGTTACGAGCACTTGCTACTTCTTTTGCAGGAGACCAGAGTTTGGTTCCCAGCACCCACACCAGGCATCTCACCACTGCCTGTAACTCCAGCTCCAAGGGATCCAACAACCTATCCTGGCCTCCACCGGTTCCCACACCCATGTGCAAATGCACATATCCAGACACATAAATAATAAAATCTTTAAAAATTATTTGTGTTCCTGTGCACCTGTAATAATACTAGAAAATGTAATAGAAGGCTGGGAGCGCATGCCTGACATGCATGAAACCCTGGTTGTGTCCCCAACGATGCATAAACTTGGCTTCAACCTGTCATACTAGCACTGGAGAGGGGAAGGCAGGAGGATCAGAAGTTAAAAGCTATCCTCTGTACATAGTAAGTCTGAAGGCAGCTTGGGACACATGAAGCCCTGTCTTTAAAACAAAATAAAAGTACTAGAAAATGTGGCAGACAATAGACTGTATTTAATGATAAAAACCTTTGAATATATTTTAAAAAATATGCCTGCTCTTTCATGACCAATATCACTATGGCCTGAATATGCTCCTCAAATCCATATTGGACCCTTCCCCCATAGGGATCTGTTGACCAGCTTGTGACTAGGAACTTATCTAGCAAATACTTCTTGTTCCCCTCCTTCCAATAAGGCCTGAATGCAGTTCCTGTTATCTGCCCATCCTTATTGCCAGAGTGGCCTGGGAACGTGAAATTTTGACCTTGGTAGTTTTCCACTGTGCCCGCTAACTGGTATATATTGCTCCTCTCTTGTTGCAATAAAGGGCATTCTCCTTGCAAGAATGACCTACTGTCTTCTGTCTTTATTTCAATCCTCAGGCCCTTGCCTGAATCAGTGAGGAGTGCTGTAGCGCCAGTGCTACAGGTCTGGTCCCTTCAGTGCCAAAAAGGACATATCAAGGACGCACTCAAAAGAAAAATGATGTTCTAAGCCTTGACATCTTTAACTATTGAGACTTCTGCTCAGTCTGCTCATGCCCATAGGTTCCACACCCTTACACAGTACGGGCATTGTTATGTATATGTAAACAAGGGAAGTGATTGAATGGCCGTAGTGAAGCCCTGTCATATCCACTCAGTAGAGAAAGACCTTGAGTGGGGGCTGGCATACCCCCACCTTCC